ATATCGTATCGTTAAGTACGAGATATGTGCTCTAGATCGACTCCCCCTTTCCTTTTTTGTGCTCAAATTTCGATCAACAACCACATCACGACACGGTTATGCTCACAAATTTGGATTATTTTTGAAGGTTCGACCCCCCCTATTGTACGTAACTAAGCATGAATAGTTTTTACCTGTCCAGTAGCATTCAGAAAGTTAAGTTGTGCTATGGAAAGTTATACTAGTACCTTCGAAGTACGTTATTACCATCTGAGAGACGATAAGCGTGCTGTGCTGGAAATTCCAGTCTGGGGGCACAAGCAGAACTAACCTGCGAGGCCATGCATATTGTCTCGAGCGTGCTCTGAAAACGTTGTTAAATTAATCGCTGGCGTCAAGATAGAATCGTATATATTCGTTTAAGTCATCTTAAAGCTACTATATCATGGTCCGTCGGGGACAGCATACTTTGAGCTGTCCTGGATATCCCAGGTGATACCCAGAATGTCTCGCCATCATCATCGACGACGCGCGACCCCGATCCCATCGCAAGAATAAATCGTGTGGTTTGTTACAGTAAAACCTTTCCTAAACGAACCCTGAGAAACCTGATACCCTGTCGTATATGATACAATTTAGTTCCACCGCCTATGGAGTAAACTTGATATTGCACAAATGCCCAATCTGATACGAAATTTTGGGGACACTTGCATTCAAGTGTACCAGGTATAGATTATAGTCTGGGATACGAAATGGGAGTGGAAAAACTTGTGATTGGCATGCAATAGCCATCGGCATTAAGGTTATTCATGTGTGTTTTCCTTGTCTCGATGTGGAAAAGAGAAAACTTACGGAAACCAAAATTTGGTCTTGGCTTTTGAAACACTAAAATTATAGTTTACGCCTTCAAATTCCATCATGCATGCCGAACATGCATCATTTTAATTCGTATAAAAAATTATTATCGTTGCCCCCAAGCTATCATGTTAATATACGGTTGTCGGAGTGCAGATTCTCATGAGATGTAATCCGAGATGTTTCATTGCAATATCACAGATCGTTTCCACATGGATTCGAAACTAGTGAAGGTTTGCATTTGTACTATTGCGAACAAGCCCAGGAGCTTAGAGTACCATATTCGAAATGCACGAATAGACCACGAGTGACTTACATGCTTATAATCACATGAGTAGTTTGGATTCGATATGCCTGTGTGCCTCTGTAGTCGGTAGTTAGCGCCCGCAGAGGATGATAATTTCATTTTCGGCTTCTCTAAGACAACGTACTTCCTCGCCTCAGTTATTTATGTGGATATCGGCTTGGCCTTTTGACCACAGCAATTGTTCGTTTACTGGACGCGACCTGAGTAACATCATATACTGCTATATATATGATAGAGTAGTTGTCCACCAGTCATATCAGGTAGGACAGGTTATTACTGCATTCTGCATCAATCACACGGTTAGCATGTCTCGTTGTTCACAAAGTTTAATCTCTGCAGAGTCGTTGCGAGTTTAGAAGTGATGCTCACTTGTGTAGCTCCAACGTTTGAGGAGAGAGAGAGTCAGACTAGTCAATTGAAAAATTAAGATGTCGGGAATGTCCTGAGTCTATGAAGCAACGCCGGTTTTTGTTGGAGCTGGCACTGCTGTGAACTCCTTCCCGAGTCACTCTGATTTGAATCGGGATGCCTCATCGCCAAACTTTGAATGTATTCGCATCTTGATCGCGAGAGAAGTGGCGCCCTTCTTGAGGCGCAGTAGCACTGAACTGCTCAATAGTGGCTGATGAAATCTCTTCTCCGGTCCACATCTTGAGCAACATAGTCCATGTTGCTTGTGCACATGAGCAACTCCATAAGACGTCTTCTTGGGTTTCATTTGGTGCAACCACATTTCGGAAGCAGTTTGCATACATTGCTATACTCACGACCTGGATGATACAGCTTGAGCGGCATGGTGGCCACACGGTACCCACAGTTGGTACTCTGTGAGCGCATTGCGGTGATGCCACCGTGAGCTAGAATTTGAGCTGCATAAGCCACACATTGGAGCCCGGAGCGTGGCGATTCCCATCACATGTACCAGGACGCCGTACAGTTTACCTTTAAGAACAAATCGAAAAGAATTTTCGTAATCAACGCCGACAACAACAGTAT